AGAAGCAATGGGCTCTGTGTAACCGCCTGCCTATTATACAAATGACTGTTGCACAAAATGAGTGTCCATTATGCTGGTTGGCACCATACCGAAAATGTGACTCACTAATTTGTACATTCACACCATACTGTAGTACAGTATACACCCTGCATGACAATTTATTGGTGACGTTTATATTTGGGTTGGATAAGCAATATTATTATTTTAAATATTTTTTTTGGGCAAAATTTTTATTATTATGAATAAAAGCATTTGTAGTAGAAGTAATAGTTTATAGCATTATCATTATCATCATCATTATCATTACTATTAAACTTATCTTTAAATATTTAAATTCTCCTAATAATAAATTACCTTGTAAAAAAATCATTTAATATTTTTGTCAAAAGAATGCCTGAAAATAGGAATAATTCATCAAATCATTCAAGTGGCTTCTTTGTAATCAAAGATTTGAATATGTAATTTATTTTCTGCTATTTATTTTTTATTTTTTATTTAACAATTATCAAATTATTTATTTATCAAATCATCATTTTCAGATTAATCCCGGAGGATAATATAGAAACCCCTCAGAAAAGATTACTTTCTTTTTTAAACACAAGAAATAGGGAGGCAATTGAGGTGGCTCTTGAAATAGAATACAATGAAAGAACAAAAGTCACATCTGCTTCGAAAATGTAATATTATTATGATGATTATGATTTATGATTATATGAATTTAATAATTGATGATTTATTGATTTATTTATTTTTTAAAATTTTTTTTAAAGATATTCTGCCCAAAGTGTAAATGACATGGTGGCAGAATGGAGTGAAACGATTGTTTTTGAATTTTATCCAAAACTAAGAACAGAAATATGTTTTCGTTGTTGGGATAAATCTAAAGGTCCTAAAGACCGTATTGGTGATGCTAAGGAGGATTTAAAAAATATTGAAATATTCAGTAATGAAAATCATAAAGGTAAATTAATTGAGAAATAATAGTGGGAAGGAATAATAGTGTGGGAAAAAGGAATTAAAAATTATTCTTATTTGATCATTTAGTCACTCGCGAATTATTCAAAGGTGAAAGGAAAGTGGGTGAAATATCATTTGAAATGTACTTTTTGTCTAAGGTAACTTAATCAACCACTATATTAACTAATCAAATAATTTAAAGTGAGGAAGGAAAATGATGATAATAATGATAATAATAATGTTGTTATTAAAATAAATAGAAAGCACCTTTAAATCAAATGCAGGTGTACAGTAATCCGCTACATTTAGATGAAAAAATTGGTGTGCTTTTGATAAATGATATAAGATGGTATGTAATTTTCTTTAATAAATATAATTAATGATGATAATATTTAATAATAGTAATGATTGAATATGTTGAAAAGTGCCACTAATAATAACAAAACTTTATATTATATATTTAAATTTAGTGAAGGATTAAATAAAGAGAAAAATTTTAATTTTCTCTTGGAATTTTCAATAAATGAATCAAAAGCATATCAGACCATCAGCTACCAAAAAATAGTTTATGATAGATGGAAGTACCCTGTGGCTATTTTGTTAAAAAGTACGCCGGAAATTAATCTTATACTGCGTTGCAGATATAGGGACAATGTTTTTTTCAACTCGAAGATTGAACTTGCTAAAGGTTCTGTTAAAGAAAGTACCGGTTTACTTTGGCAAAGACTAATGCAAAGTACTGTTATAAAAGGTAAATTGTCACATGATTAAAATAAAAAAAGTCATCATTTAATCAATAATTTTATTTTTTTTATAAAAAGCTCCATTTTCTGAAAATAATGGTGTCAAAATCACATTATCGATATCTTGTCATGAGCTACTCTCGTTAAAACATTTATTTGAACATTACAACGAGAATCCAATTCCGACGCCTGTTAGAAGAAGTCGTTCTACTTTTGAGAAAACCGATCGCCTTTCGGAAGGTAATAAAGATTATATATTAATAAAAAAAAAGTTTATTTATCATATATTAACAAATGCTTACTTGTTAATATTACATACAGGCAATTCATTTTATCCACCCATACCAAAATCCAAACGATCATTGCAACAAATACCAAATTACAAAATTGTCTGTAATCAACTTTCTACTTCACCAAATTCATTATTTAATGATAATTGCAAAGAAACTCTTCCAAAAAAATATGAGACTTTACCTGCTACTAATAATAGAACTAGTAATTACAGTGATATTAGCAATGGTAGTAATAGTATCACTAGTAGAAAAACTAGTCTAGATAGTCTAGATAAAAAAAGTGATGTCAGTGAGACTAGTCTATCACCATCACCATCATCATCATCATCATCATCATCATCATCATCACCGCCATCATCATCGCCATCACCGCCGCTATCATCATCACCATTCTCGAAATATCTTATTTGCTCTAAATATGAAATAACTGTACCAATTGGGCACGACAACAGCACTCCTTCTTCCAAAAAATTATTTAAAGGGAAACATGCAATAAATGGTGATATTGTTGTGATCAAAATATTTAATCAAAAACATCCATGGAAAAATGACGTGCATTTCCTTCGTACTTATAAGTCGAGGAAAAGTATCGTAAAATTTGAAGATATGGAAGAATTAGGAACTGAAAAATTTGTTTCGGTTACCAGATATTTTGGGAGGACATTGGACTCTGAGCTTTCTAAGCTCAGAGATCCAATGCTCCTGAAACTTGTGTTTAACAAGATTACAAAGGGCTTGAATTATCTCCATACCAACAATATTGTCCACAATAACCTCAAGCCTTCCAATATTCTCCTGAAGGAGAATAAGATATACAAAGTTAAATTGTGCGACTTCGAATTCGCACGTAATGTGGGCGAACTAGTTCAAAATGAGGATGGATCTCATTGCGTAAATATGGGATTCTCGCCACCAGAAATCGCCAAAAATTATAAAAATCTCAAAGCAGATTTGTCAGCTGATTGTTTCAGTCTCGGAGCAATATTATATTATTTGTTGGCGAAGAAGAAACTATACACAACAATTGATGAACTGGACAGCCTAGCTGCTAATCGGGTTGAACATTTTGAATGTGAAATCAAAGAAAAATCCGCCAAAAAACTTTTGTCAATGATGTTGAACCCGGTTGCAAATAAGCGGCCCAAGGTAGAAATGATACTAGAATCTACCTATTTTAAAGGAGGAGACGGTGACCCAGGTGGTTCTGTAAAAGATATACAAAAAATGGTCAGTATATGATATTTACACACCATGTATACTTTCTTTCTTTTCAAAAATTTATTTATTTATTTTATTTATATACACATATATATACATATATAAAGATTTATAATCTTCACAAAAAAACCATTCCAACAAGCATCATGGTACTACCTGCTAGAAAATCCGAGCAAATAATACCACCAATAAAACAATGGGGCAAAGATACATTTGAATTATTTTTGCTCTGTGAAGGTTTAGGACTTTATAATGATTTTCCAGCACATATCACTGGTAACAAAAAATTAAAATAAAATTTTTGTGAAATATATCAAAAATTTGACCTTTATTTAACTAAAAAGGTGCATTTTATAAATATTTGCTACATGTTTAACTAATTCAAATTTTTTTTTTTTTTTTTTACCTGTGTATCACAGATCATCCTGGATACAAAATACATGAGCCAACATCATTTTTTAGACATTCGGCAAAAGCATTAGCGGTGTCTATCGGGATATTACAAGCAGGACTGATAATTGGAACTGGCGATCTCAAACTTTTTGAAGCTGCTGGGTCTATCTGGAAATCAAGCGAAAAGAAATTAGATAAGTTTAAAAAACTAAAAAAATTTATCGAGGATAACAATATCGGCTCTAGCAATGGCAGCAATAGTGATCATGATATTTATAATATTTATAATAATTATGATACATATGACGATGATCCTTTTAGAAGAGAATTGGAACAAGTTTTAAACAAGTATGATAAAACTAGCACATATGGTGGTTTAAGTTTAGTTGTATTGAAGGAGACTGCAGATGTTAAATGGGTTTGCAAGCAATGTAAAATGCATGCTGAGAGTAAAGATTATATTTTATGATATTCTATTTATTTATTTATCACTTATTCACTTTTTGTATATTTATTAATTTGTAATTTTAATTTTTTAAATTTTTTGATAAGTCATTTTTCTTTTGTAGAATTATTTTTGTGTCTAAAATTATATTAATTTATCATTTTTATATATAAAATACTTTTAATGAATGGATGGGTTGTTTAAAACAATCAAAGTCTAACTAACTGTGCGTTGATGTAGCTAGATTGTAAATGATTTATTTATTTTTTAAAAAGTGTTAAAATGATCCAACTTTGCGTATTTTGGAATGATCACCGGTTATTATTATTATTATTGTCACAAAGTTATTTCGGTAACACTGATAATTTAACAGGTATGTATGGCTGGCGATGGCTTTTGGGTTACCCTGCGATTCACAATAATTTGGTGCTTGACAATTAATTAGTTTACGAATTTATTTTTGCTGCCTCTTTCTTGTATATACGCGAATTTGTAAGCACGATCAACGGTATGGGATAATTGCATAGCTCACAAAGTTCAAAGGTTTCTTTTTATTCACTTATGGCCCTTGTTCATTTCAATCATCTACCCTTGTTTATTTTTATTTGGCCGATTTCAAACTCGCTTTGGTTTATTTACAAACAATTTAAGCAGCATGTTACATTTACAATAATGATTTTATTGCAATAACACTCACTACCAATATTTCCAATTAACCTTCAGACAATACTTGGACAATACTTCACTGACCGTTGTTAACAGTCCTAACCTTTGCTCATTCACCAAGTAAATAAAAACATGGCTTTCCACAATTATTGCTTTTTTATCAGAGCACTACACTTGTTGCTTTTTACCAAAGCATTTTAAACGAAACTAGTAATAAATATTAATAGTCGAACGATTTGTCACATTAAACGATTGGGAAGTGTATTTTCCGAAATTTTTTGGTGATCAACGTCGAA